GGAGCCTTCTGAACTTCTACCTCAGGAGATGCTGTGTCGGGCTCTTGCTTTGTCTTCTTGATGGGCCTAGTGCTGGGACCCACGTCGACAGTATCCCGACCCCTTGAAGCGGCGTTGAAGCACCGGCGGGCAGCAGCGAGGTCGCCCTGGATGGTGGCTACCCTCCCCCTCTTGGTATAGAACTTCATCTTTAGGTGGACAGTTGAAGGGACCGCTGTCAGTTCCGCCAATGTCGGCCTCCCCAGGATGCAATTGTACAGGGATGGGCAGTCAATGACGAGGAAGCGGACCTTCACCTGTCTTGTAGCAGTTCCCTCCCCGAATGTCACGAGGAGCTCGACATATCCCCAAGGTTTGGACGTCGATCCGTTGAAGCCTTGAAGGTCCGAACCTATATATGGAGACAGATGGGAGTCGTCCAGTTGTAAGGTCCGGAACAGCTGGGTGTACATCACGTCGACGGAACTCCCTTCGTCGACCAGGATGCGATGCACGTCAAAATTGGCCATCTTTGCCCTTATCAGCAAGGGGATGACTGCGTTCGGTGCTCCGCCGGGGAGCTCTTCCAAGTAGAATGTGATAGGCTCTGATCTGCCCCTCACCATTTCAAAAGTCACAGTTTGAGGGGGAGCTTTGTCGACCAGCTCGTCCAACTTCCTCTTGGCTGAGTTGATGGTGAGGTCGCTGAACCCGCCCCCGTTGATGACCATGGCGGAGGGGAAGTATTCCCACCTGCTGTGTGTAGTCAGGGGCTCCTGCAGGAGCTCGGGAAGTTCGAAATCCTCGGGCCTGGTTATCGAGAAGGCGGTCTGGATTGGCACCGACTCGTCAGATGGTCGGGCATCTTCTTCGGGCTCCTTTTCCTCGCGGGCTTCACGACGGGGAGCGTCGTTTCTTCTGTACTGTGCAAGTCTTCCTCCTTTGATGAGGGTTTCAATGGCGTCCTTCAGGTGGACGCCGTCCTCTGTCAAGTGACCATGACTTCTATGGTACTGACAGTATTTGTTTTTGTCGACTCCTGGCTTGGCAGGAGCTGGTCGGGGACGCTTAACGCCACCGTCTTTAAAATCTGTGCTCGCACACTCCGCCAGAATACGCTCGCGGGAAGCTGTGAGCGGAGTGTACTCAGTAAACCTGCCCGAGGGGCCCCTTTGTTCCCGGACCTCCCGGGGTCTGTCTTCCTTCCTCTTCTCTCCGGTGCGTCGGGGAGGAGGGTCTTGTCTCGAGCTGCTTCCATGGTTGCGGGCCCTGGAGTCCCGTGCCCTGTTGGCAGCTTCTCTCTCCTCGTAATCCATATATGCTCGAGCTTTGTCGAGGAGAGCGTCAAAAGTTGCAGGTGGCTCAATGCCCACAGCTTTCCTGAATTCTGTGCCGGGGAGGAGGCCCCTCTCCAGCAAATACCTCTTCATATGGTCCGCGCAGGGGACCTGTATTGCTTCCCGATTGAAGCGGTTGATGAATTCCCTCAAGGTCTCATCATGTCTTTGGATGATGGCCTCGAGGGCTGCCTCGGTCTTTGGGTGGCGACGAGAGGCTGTAAAGGAACTGATGAACTGGTTCTTCAAGTTCCGCCACGAGGTGATGGAGCCCGGGGCAAGTCCTTTGTACCAGTCCATGGCCGCCTTCCTGAGAGTTGTTGGGAAGAGACGGCACTTGATGGGCCCCCCGACATTGTGATAGTGGAGCATGGCTTCAAACCCGTCAATATGGTCGACTGGGTCTGCCACCCCATCATACTCCTTTAGGTGTGGGGGCTTCTCCATGCCCGGGGGAATAGGTGCGTCCATGATGGCCTGCGACAGGGGACCGCGGGGGTCGTCCTCGTCGCTCCTTTCTGGAGAAAGAGAAAGGGTCCTGTAGTTGTGTCGGGCACGTTGCTCGTGCTGGGATTCCCTTGAACGTGATGTTCGGTGGGCGAAGGTCACATGTCCGTCTCTGTTGTGCCTCCGGTCGTGCCTTGATGGGTCGCGAACGGGCTCTTCGGCGGGGATGACGGGCTGTCTTTCGTATTGGGGCCGCCTCTGCCTTGGTGCGGGAGAGGGGCTCCTAGAGATTTCCCTGTAATGTCTCCGCGGGGGAGTAGGGTGTCGAACTTCTTCGACCCGAGGAAGTGGAGATGGTGGCCTTTGATGTCTCCTCGGGGGGCGTCGATCATTTTCCAGTGCCCTAAGTCTTTCTCCCTGGGCGAACAGGAGATAGTTCGTCTGGTTGATGGCCGCGAACAGTGCTTGAGCCGTGGCATCTGCCCCGGCGGGGGCTTGGACTTCATAGAACCGGGCAGCCTGGCGATAGGCGAGGGCCTCCGGATCGTCTTCAAGTCCTGGAGGAGTTGTCGAGGAGGACGCAGTGTTCCCGTCCCTGCGGGTGGAAGGTCCAGGGGCGGTTGTCAGGGGGGTGGCATTGTGGCCGGCACCACTGGGATTGTCCAGGTGCCCATTCTTGTCCGCGGGACCGTTGTTGACGTCGAGGACGCGAGTGTGTTGTTCTTCACGAGTTGGAGAGGCCATGACAGTGAATGGATTGAGCTTTGGTCTTTGAAACTGTTCGTTAGACGGGGAAGCTGTTTCCCACAGACGGCGCCACTGATCTGACCTGATCAGAAGGTTTGGACCGTCACGGCTGCTCCGAGCTGAAGGCTTTTAGAACGAGGAGGGGGGGGTACCTGCAAGGCACTCCGATGCTTAAGTCAGTGGGAGTACTAGCAGATAATAGAGTTGAGGTTAGAAATGATGATTACCTGACCCTCTGGAAACAGAGGGTATTTATAGCCCCCAGCGCTGGGCCAAGGTTCCTTCATTGGGCCGGGCGGATTTGGCCCAATGGAGGAACTGCCAGGTTCTACGTGGGTAGTGGGGATCAGCACGTGGTCCCCTTCCTGGAGGTGCTGCGTGAAGTGCGAGCGGACAGAGACGCGGTCTTTACGGAGTATCGTTGGGGCAATGGTGACTGAGTCTGCCCTAGCAAGGTAGCTCGAGTCCATGTCGAGCAGTGCAGCATGGTGTCGAGCTCGACGCCAAGACCCCGAGCTGGACAGCGAATGTCGAGCTGGAAGCCAGGGCATAGAGCTGGACGGCAATCTGTCGAGCGTGACTTCGTCGCGTGGGCTGGACACTGAGATGTCGAGGGGGACATCAGGGTGTCGGGCATGGACGTTGTGGTCCTTAGTGAGTCCCATTGGATTGGGCCTTTGCCCATTGTGGTCCTTAGTGAGTCCCATTGGACTGGGCCTTAGTAATGCTTTTGGGCCTGTCGGGCCCAGTCCAGAACAATATCTCTTGCATCTCATCTCAACATTTTTGTTAATGTGAAATTGACATAGCAAATTAATAGTCGTGGGAAACACAACTTCAACTGCTTTCATCAAAGCAAGATCTCTATCCGTAAAAATCACTTGTGGACGTAAATCTTTCTTCACAAACAATTCCTTCAGCTTCTCCAAGACCCAACAAAAATTATTTGTCTGCTCATACTTCATATATGCAAATGCAACAGCAAATGTCAACTCGGTCGATGTCATGCTAACAATTTAAAACAGAGGTTGTCTATATTTATTTGTCTTATAAGTGTTGTCCATAACTAACACGATCAGAAAAAGATTTAGCAACTTAAACGAATCTGGATGCGCCCAAAAAATATCTCTCACAACTTCAGAGTCATCTCTTTTCCTACTCCAATACACATAGCATGCATCCTCTATGAGCTTAAGCAGATGTTGTATCTCAGTTCTTGACCCTCTTATCTCTTTTCGTATCATACTCTTCTACTTATATATTTGCGTAATCGGAGTCACATTCTCAAGATCTCGCTCTTGCAATGAAAATAATATGTGCCTAGGTGGAACATGTCTCTTTGTCAAATCAAAAACATGTTTCTTATCGTCTGCGGATAACCTACCAACAAACGCATGACCTCCAAACCTATCAGGTAATCCATGATTTTGAACTCCGCATTTTACATCAACCTTCCATCTAAGACCATTTTTTGACGGAGTCGACCTGATTTTGAATGGACATCCACATCTCTTAGTCGCACTTTGAGTTTCACTTGTATCCTTGTATTTACCCTCTTTATCACACCAAAATATTATTTTGTTACTTCTTCCTTTCTTGCTCATTTCGGTGTCCGAGCGATTGATAATAACAATTACCATGTTTCTGTTTCCAACCTCTTTAATTCAAATTATAACCTCTTCTCGTGTATCGAATGTTTGAGTAGTGGAGAATACATCAATAATATCTATAGATGACTTATTTTTTTGACAAATTTAATGCGGAATTTACATACTTAAAAAGTAAAAAATAAATTAAAATATAAATAATAAATTTAACAATGCGTACCGAAAGGATACAAAGTAAAATATTCTAATAACAATCTTAATTAAGTTTTTGAAAAGGAAAAGTTTTTAATTCAGATAATTCAAATCTCATTTTTTGAATTTTTTTTCCACCTTCACACTTACGTGAGTCAAGAATGAATGTTAGCAATATAAGACGTGAGAGTTCGGATCTGCTCCATTTTTAATTTGCTCCAGTTTTTCATTTTACTTTATTGATGTGTGACACGTGGCGAATAAAAAACTAACGATTGAGATTAAAAAACTAGACTGTCACCCTTTTTTTTTTCTCCTCAACCTCACGATTGATTTTTTTTTAAATTTTCTCGGTATCATTTCTCCATCTCTTCTTTTAGTCCTCCACTCCCTGTCTTGATTCTGCGTCGCCGCCGTTGTGTCTTCCCTGTCTTTAACTTCAATATCTCTGATCTTCAATAAAAAATCTGTAATGTTAATCATTAATAACAGTTTCCAATTTCAAACTTCAAATTGAGAAAGGAGAAAACTTTAGCACAAAAAGAAAACTACATAACAAAGATAAAATGGGATGTACCAAAAATTTAAAAAAATGGACCGAATCTCTTAGAGGGTCTTCACTTCTACTTTTTTGGGAGGCTGCACTTTGATTTAAAGCCTTTGTGCAAAGGTAAGATAATGATTGCAGCCATCAAACCAACATGGGTTTGCGGACAACATCATCGGAATCAGCCACTTGTGAATACAACTCATTCAAAGTTATGTTTTGTGCATCTTGTGGTAACTTGGTAATCAATTGTGCCAATAGTTGCATCAAGTTCGGTAAAACCTAAATAGTAGAAAAGCTTGCATGATTGTAAGTTCAAAATCAATATTTAATCTATATAGCCCTGACATTTCAGTTGAAGGCTTGCTCGACACAATATACGATATCAAAACATCTGGTTACATTCAATTACTTCTATTTTCTTAAATTATTGCTCTCATCCACATGTCAATGTCGTGTCTGATATTCATGTTTGTATCCGTGTCTAATAGTATTTAATGCATATGGAGTTGATGTAAAAGCAAGTCCTTACTTGAATATCAACAAGGAAAACTAGACGTAAAAGCAAGTCCAATAATTTCTTGCTTGGTTCCGGCTCTCCTTGCCACTGCTTCCACGCATCAGCCTCATTTGTGAAGACTTCATAACAAAGCTGATTCGCTTTTTCAACACGACTATGAATGCAATAAAAAGTAGCAGGGCTTCCAGCAAGAAGATGTTGGACCATTCCTACAACTCCGGATGTCATTCCATCAAAAGGAGTAATGCCAGGATATCCCTATATTTATATTACCATATTATATAAAAACGTATTCGACTCGCATATTAAAGACCAAGGTCTTTGGTATTATAATTACCGATAAGGATACTTGTATGTAATGGAAAACGAGCTTCTCCTTCAAAGAGACTCCATCGTTTTTTTTTAGATTCCTTCCCCATAGACATAAATACAGTGAAGACAGAGTGAGAAGCTCGAGCTACTTTTCCATTCAGATGTTCCATATATCTAGTTTTTAAAAATAAGGAAGCACATTTTTTGTCGATGATAATGTGACGGAAAAACCAAGCATAACTAAATATGTATTTGGTTGATATAGGATACAAGAACATAGTTGGAGCTACCATTTCTCCGAATACCGAGGCGGGAAAACACTCAATCAAAGTTGGAATGACCCGAAGGTAAAACAAAACACGGGTTGTTTGCACTTCATCCTTGGACCATAAGTATTTGGTTTTCTGGTCTAGAAGCAAGGGTTAAAATCGTAATTTTACACACAAAAATTTGGGAAGGGGACTAAAATCGTAAATTGTGGAATTGTAAAACTAATGGTAAGACTGTACAGAATTCTAAAACTCATATTAATGCATATAAATTCTTATATATAAATATATAATCGCATTAGTATTAGTAAGACAAAGAAAACCTTAAATCACTTGAAATACTTGTGTAAATTTAAATTCATAAGCATAGCTCAAAATTAAGATAATTAAAACCTTAAATCACACTTCAAATACTGATATAAATTTAAATTCATTCATAAGCATAATTGCATAAACGTTTGAAAGATCGTAAGACTATACGATTTAATGATAACAGGAGAGATTCTACTTGATTCCGCTGAAATAAGATTATGGATATAGTCATATTCGTTGAGGGCAGACGTGATCACAAAATCATGAAATTTTACGATTCAAATCGGGATTTCAACTACCATGTATAGAAGAATAGAAAATCTTATAAAATGGAAACCATAAAAAAAAAAAGCAATTCAAATAAAAATGCATTTGAATAAATCATACCTGGCCCATTTGTCAAGTCACCATAAGAGGGTATGGAGTTCACAAAAAACGTACAAGCATGCTCATTCTTGTTAACACTTGCAATTACCTTGCAAATTGTCTCCATGTACTCTGGCAAGCGTACGTTGCAAAAATATTCCACGCAAGAAAACGATACTAGTATCTTCAACGAGACTTCGGTTTGTATTTCTTGATCAAATTTTGAGCTCAATTTGTGCTTAGTTACAGCTAGCACAAAGAATACAACCATAAGGAAAGCAGATTCCGTGATTTTATCAAAATCCTTAAGCAACTCATCGTAATTGACTTTAAGATGCATAGCCACTTTCCCGTGTCCATAGTAAATACTACGACATTATTCCCATATAAGATTCTCCACTATATTCTTATTTTCTTCACACCTTGTGTCCTTCGACCAAACTTCCTCAAAACGAAAGATAAACTTCCTCTGATCGTCAAACGTCTCAGCATATCTCATGATCTCAACACGTAAAGCAGCATGATCTGAACCAAAGCGTTGTAAATGGTGAACAGCAGTAGTCGGGAAGTAATTAAGAAAATCAAAATTCACAAAGCCTCTGTCGAGTCTACATTGGATATTCCTTTGCCCTTGTCTTCCGTTAGTCCACGTGAAAGGATATCCCACTGATCCGCTGTCGCAGACGGATCAAAAACAAGTATTTTGTAAAATACAGTATAACGACAATGGCTCGAGTCGTATCGCAAGGATTCTTGATTTTATTATTAACTAATAGAAGTCGAATGGGGGGTTGGTTTCAGGATTGATTCATAACATGAAATAAGTTATTAAAATAAGTGATTATAAAAATAAGTCGATCTACTATTTTCTAGTTCCTGCTAATCATTGGTTTTTAACTTACCAATTCCCTAAGTGACTTCGACCTCTATTTGATTTCAATATCAATTGACAAGCGCAATAGATATAAAATAGATTGAATTCCCATTCTGAATTAAGCAAACAGAATAATACAATCGTGAATTAAGCAAACACGATTTAACGACTAAGCAACGTAAACAACGATTAAAGATTAGGAATACAATCATAAGAATTTAATCAAGACATTCCATGAAATAACAGATTAAGCAAATGCAACTCCATAAAATAGAATTGAAAGAGAAACAAAATTGAATTGATAAGTTAAAAACCTCAAAGCATCGGAACACGATTACAGTAGATCAACTCTGGATGATTAGTTCTTCATTCAAGCGTAAAAGAAAAATGTATTTTTTTATGAATAATGAAAAGGTAAAAACTAAATTACTGTAGCGGCTTCTAGGTATAGCAAGGACAAGGATTCGGTTCATAACCCAACTGGATCGAAAACATAACCCAGACCCAAAACAAATGACCCAAAACTTAAATATTAAATGCTGCAACTTCAAAGAATTTTATGGCCTTGCTACAGTCCGATTCAGCTCTCGACTTCTTAATGAAAATTGTAGCTTTTTCTCTTAGCTTTCCAATGACTAGTAGCACGCCTCATTCCGACTCCCGTAGCTTAAGTTATGAATTTATTCGTGCAGACTACTAATACTGAAAATAAAGTACGAAAATCAAATAAGAGTAGAAATAAACTAAAATAGAAAAACGCTATAAAATACAAAAATAAGCTAAACAAACCATGGAAATGCATAAGTATAATCATGGAAGAATGTGCATCAAAATACACTGATCAAATTCCCCGACACTTGAACGTTTACACTCCGAGCAAAATAAAATCAAAAGAAACACAACAGCATCATCGGCTACTCATTCTAGGCTACAAACTCTTCTTCGGTTAAGATTGCATCAATAGGTACTAATCTTGCACACTAAGGATACCGTAGGAACACTAATCTTGTCTCTTGAATATACAAACCAATTCGAATCATATTATTATACCAAAGCCTAACTTACTCATCCTCCTTTTTGCTCTCTTTCATTCTGGCACAATCACATTAAGTCAGTTATCTCCACACTCATAGCAAGGAGACCGGTTAGTGACTCTGATCCTTTTTGCACGGGGTTCTGGTACTTATGTGGCATAACCCTTTGCTTACTCGGTTGTTGTTGCGGAGGATCGGACCGTAATCCGCCCTACCAAGTTCAGCACCAAAAACCGCTGAACCAACTAACAATGAGTCTTATTATCAACTTTTTTTGTAGGTTCTATGACTGTTAGGTTAAGTGACCAGGTGAGGGTCACAAAACTTAGAAGGCGCATTCCTTTTTCTTTCCTTTTTTTTCAAATAAAACTTGAATCACTCACTTATTTTCATCGGCTTCCCTGCGTAGAGTGCGTGTGAGATGGTGCTGACTCCTAAAATAAACTACTCAAGAGCTATTAAAAGATGAGAATTCAAGACTACGTCATAATAAAAATTCAAATTAACTTCCATATGCATGAGACTTACAGTGTTAAGACGATACCAATCTTGTGAACTTTTCCCAAGTCTCCACAACTAACCTCATATTAATCTATAACCCAAAACTTTCAAAAAGATACATATTTTTTTTTATAACTAAAAATAAAACAACAAACAAAAGCAAAGAAAACAAAATAAATAAATAATTCTCTCCCCCACACTTAAAACACACATTGTCCTCATTGAAAGAAACAAGCATAAAATAAGAGAGAGGAGAGAGAGGAAAGAACACACCCGAGAAGTCAACGCGGATAGATGATCGCATAAGTAGCCTTTCCCAACGAGAGCACTTTTATAGTTTCCTCTTCCAACGTGGGACTCTCATGGAATAGCTTGAGGCGGTGTCCTTTGACTTTGCAATTTTTATCAGTACCTTCACTTTTTATTCCTGGATCAAAGAATATTCTTCTAAAAGTAAAAGTGTCAAATGGGCACGTGAACATGATCTCATCTTTCACAACATCAAGGATCAAAAGGTTATGGGGCTGCCTCACTCCTTTTGCTACATCTTCAAGTGAGATCCTATGCATGCACATGGACGGACTAATATCATAAATATCATCTAAGGTCCATCCAATTCCTTTCTTATGCTTCTTTAAAACCTGCAAAAATTTACTTTCTTGATCAAAATAAAGTATAGAAGAAATTATAACCGGGAGTTTTTCATTCATCTCTAGATAAGCATAATTAAGATTTTCAGGAATTAGTTTCAGCTCTCGAAAAGGTGGTTGTTTAATGGATGGTTTGTTTCGGGCAGCCGGAGTATCGAGAGCTTCTTCCACATGAACAACTTCATTTGCAACCTCATATGCAGTAAGAATATCAACTTGCAAGGCGGCCTCAATTTCAGCACAAACAGAGAAAATTTTAATATCAGTACAAACATCACAAGAGTAAACATCATCAAAATCAGATAATGATGGAAAATCAGATGCAAATAAATCAGTACAAGTATCATCAATAGTCTCAGAAAGTAACTCTATCGGAAAAACAGAATTCTCTTCCAAGGGTTGTTGGTTAGATCCTTGAGCTTGTTGCATGATATTCATCAAAGAGGCAAGTTGTTCAATCTGTGTTTGTAAAGTCTGAAGTGTAGAATCTATTTGTTGTTCATACTTGAGATTATTTGCAGCCATTTATTTGACAATGTCCTCTAGCGCAGGTTCAGAAGGTTCTGAGCACACAACCTAGAATTCCTTCAGATGCTTATGCGGATCCTCACCTGTAAGACTATTAAGCTTTGACAACAAGTGTATTAAATCAGATTTCGATTCAAAAGGTGTATCAGTTGCAGAATAGTCAATACATAAATCATTATATCTCACATCAAGGCCAGCCAACTGTCTCAAAGTTCTTTGTTCAACCATGTTATCAATAAACACAGAAATACCAACTATGTCCCAAACAGGCAGAAACAAATAGAAAGAAAGAAAACGATTAAAATAAATTCAAAAATATACAAAAATGAAAAATTTAATCTAATGAAGCAAAATAAGACTAATATTCGTCGATTTTTTGCTGACTTTGTGAAAAAAATCCGGAGCAAATCGAAACAGTAACTTCTAAATTGTACTGTAACCGGAATTGCAATCCTGAAAATCAACAAACACAATAAAACAACAAAAAAAACCAAGAAAAAAAATAAAAAGAACACTAAACCTATGATTATAATATCAGTTAATAAAAACAAGAATCCACGGCAATAGCGCCAATTTGATCCGCTGTCGCAGACGGATCAAAAACGAGTATTTTGTAAAATATAGTATAGCGACAATGGCTCGAGTCGTATCGCAAGGATTCTTGATTTTATTATTAACTAATAAAAATCGAATGGGGGGTTGGTTTTAAGATTGATTCATAACACGAAATAAGTGATTAAAATAAGTGATTATAAAAATAAGTCGATCTACTATTTTTAGGTTCCTGCTAATCATTGGTTTTTAACTTACCAATTCCCTAAGCGGCTTCTACCTCTATTCGATTTCAATACCAATTGACAAGCGCAATAGATATAAAATAGATTGAATTCTCATTCTGAATTAAGCAAACAGATTAATACAATCGTGAATTAAGCAAACACGATATAAAACGCGATTTAACAACTAAGCGACGTAAACAACGATTAAAGATTAGAAATACAATAATACGAATTTAATCAAGACATTCCATGAAATAACAGATTAAGCAAATGCAATTTCATAAAATAGAATTGAAATAGAAATGAAATTGAATTGATAAGTTAAAAACCTCAAAGCATCGAAACACTATTACAGTAGATCAACTCTGTGATGCTTGAAATTGGACTTTGAAAGGCATGCAACAGTAGTGATTCACACTTGGAGATTCACACATGGAGTGTTATTACTTTTCTAAATTCAATTGAAAACAGATTGAACGTTACCCACTGCACATCCATCTTCCTCATTGGTACTATACCATTCAATTCCATCAAAGTCCAGCCTCGTTCGGCACCTCAACACCCATCGACACTGACATATCCAAGCCTAATTTTTATTTGCATCTCAAAGTCCAATTTTCATTAGCACCTCAAAAACTCAATTTTTATTGGCACCTCAAAATTCAATTTTTATTGGCACTTCAAAACTCAAAATCGTTTGACAACCATAAAGACCAGTACTCGTCTGACAAAATTCAAAAACCTTTTCCTTTTAGAGTCTGATACTCTTCAGGATCTCATTTATTTTGGGCCAATGTTCTTCCGGAACCCCTTAAGATTTCGATACTATTTCATATCACATTTATTTTGTTACAATGCACTTCTAGAACCCTGTGAGAGTCTAATGCTCTTTTGAATCTCATTTATTTTGTTCTGATGCTCTTATGGAATCCCATGGGAGTCTGATGTTCTTCTGAATCTCATTTATTTTGTCCTGGTGCTCTTTCGAAATCCCTTTAGAGTCTGATGCTCTTTCAAATCTCATTTATTTTGTTCTGATGCTCTTCTGGAATCCCTTGAGAGTCTGATGATGTTTCGGATCTCATTTATTATGTTTTGACGCTCTTCCACAAACTCTTAAGAGTCTGATACTCTTTTACATCTCATTTATTTTCTTTTGATGCTCTTTCGAAATCCCTTTAAAGAGACTCCATCATTTTTTCAGGTTCCTTCCCCATAAACATAAATGCATTGAAGACAAAATGAGAAGCTCGAGTTACTTTTCCATTCGGATGTTCCATATATTTAGTTTTTTAAAATAAGGAAGCACATTTTTTGCAGATGATAATGTGACGTGGTCATGGACTCTCAAAATTTTATTTAATGAATGACTGAGTCTAGTGCTCAAAATCGATGAGAATTTCTTTATATACCTTGTAGTTTCCTTGCAGGTCCCTGGCGAAAAGCCCAAAGTACTCCTAGAATTCTGATGTGCATATCTGAACGCACCAAATTTAAGTTTTTTAGAGGTTCGTTCAGATATGCATATTCGAAATAACCAAATAATTCAAGAGGGAGTTATTTCGAATATGCATATCCAAAAAACTCAATATCCTAAATTTCTTTTGATTTTATTTTAATATTAAATATCTCATCATTATTTTTTACAAGAATCTATTCATTTAATATTAAATGTCCTATTTTAGTAATATTAATTATTAATAACATTCAACATTTAATTATAATATAAATATCTTTTTAATATAATAAATTTTCTAATTACAACATAATAATTAATTATCAATTATATAATAAAAACTAAAAAGTATCATCTAAAATAAATTTAACTTTTAAAGTTACAATCAAAAAATATTTCTTATATTTTTTATAAAAAATTATTCATAATTTTAAATAAAAAATTAAAAGATAATTATATTTCACAATTATAATTAGAAATTTAATTATTGTATTCATTGTTTAATTTCATATCATAAATTTACTTTAATATTTAGTTTTCAATTATAAATTTAAGTTATTCTTTATTAATAATAACTCAATTTAATTATATTATAATTATATTATAAATAAATATCTTTTTAAAATAAAATCAAAATAAAATCAAATGAAATTTAAAATATTGTGTTATTTCGGATATGTATATCTGAAATCTCCTTGAAAATAAAATATAGGGGTTCGTTCTACATATCTGAAATAACTCAATATTCTAAATTCACAAGTTGTGTTCGGATATGCACATTTGAACGGTATTTTCGGATTTTCAGATGTTTAACTCAACATAACAAGGTAGAGAAAGAAATTCTCAAAATCGATTATGAATAAAATACTATTATAGAACAGAGAAATTATTTAGATAAATAATTTAGTTACTTAAATTAATGTCTAATTTATATTAGTAATATTTTTATTTGTATTGTTATTTAGTTGACTTTTATTAGTGTTTGAAATTTTTAGAAAATTATCTAATATTTCTCAATACGACTATTATATACGTAGTCTCAATGAGACATTAAAGAATACAAATGAAATGAAAAATATCTTTAATTCCTTTAATTTTATCTTGTAATTTTAGTGTTCTTCTCCTTTTATGGTAGAAACCTATATATATATATATATATATATATATATATATATATATATATATATATATATATATATATATATATATATATATATATATATATATATATATATATATATATATATATATATATATATATATATATATATATATATATATATATATATATACTGAAAGCTCGCAACAAAACTAATTTACAGAAAAAACAAGCACAACTAAAATATGTACTTGGTTGATATAAGATAGAAGAACATAGTTTGAGCTACCATGTCACCTAATACCGAGGCAGGCAAACACTCGATCATAGTAGTCTCACTTCGTCCTTGGACCGTAAGTATTTGGTTTTCAGGTCTAGAAGCAAGGTAGTTACAATCGTGATTTTAACACTTGCGAATTGTCTCCATGTATTATGGCAAGCATTATGGCAAGCGTACATGGCAAAAATGTTCCACACAAGAAAACGATAATAGTATCTTCAACAAGACTTCAATTTATATTTATTGATCAGATTTCGAACTCACTTTGAGCTTTGTTATCGCTAGCGCAAAGACTACAAGCATAAGAAAAGCAGATTCCCCATTTTTTTTCAAATTCATAAGCAACTCATTATCCTGTTACAGCTCCGGCTTCCTTAACGAGGAAATTATTAGATGTTCTTTAATCTCATTAACCTTTAGTTCACCAGAACTCTGCGGCAATTCAAACACCGATTCATAAAGACAAGGCAACAGAATCATCTCAGTTAACAATGACAAACCAAGGCAAACAACCATTATTAGATGTTCTTTAACCTCATTAACCTTTAGTTCACCAGAACTCTGCAGCAATTCAAACACCGATTCATAAAGACGAGGCAACAGAAGCACCTCAGTTAACAATGACAAACCAAGGCAAACAACCAACGAGGACACTGAATATGAAACTGTACGAGTCAATCCTATTTGGTCCTATAAAAGGTGTAATCTCATTATTTCTTTCACCATTGTTTTAGTGCAAGGTAAATTGACTGTTCGCATGCCATCTAATGGGCCGGACGTGTGGTCTAAAATCACACTGCAATTGCAGAATGATGCAGTTACAGAGGTTACTGCGTATTATCATAAAGTGCACTTGATTGCAACAAAGATTTATCAGATATTGTAAGTTCAGAAATAGACAAAAGTACTGTAATACCTACTATTTGGTAAACTAAGAGTAATAGGTAAATCATAATAACACTGATATACATATTGAATGTAGTGAGGAATTGGTCACCCCTTTTCTTCACGCAACCAGTTTGCAAATATAGAGAAATTGTTCTACTCTTTCACAATAGGTCACAATAGGAGAAAGAAAATTGTGCTTCTTAACACATATATACACAAAACAAAACATATATACACAAAACAAAACATTGCAGCAAAAAAATAAAAACTGAAAATTGGATAAATAACACATAAATTGTAATTAAACTACAAATATATTATATCACTCCTGTCATATTGCCTATTTTTCCCAATTTCGCCAATAATTCTGTCTATGATCATGACCACTCGAAGAACCTTGCAGCTGTGGCGGAGAAAGTTAATAAATGGATCTTTGATGTGATTACCAGACAAATCCATCTTGCGGAGATTTGGAAGTGCCAATAATGGATCATTATCATCTATTATAAAATCTTGGCTAACACACACCCGTGGATAACGGAGATTGAGTTCTTCTAGTAAAGGAAAACAATCGGCGATCAAGAACAAATCCTTCTTCTCATAATGTAACAACCTGTAAAGAGTGAGAGATCTTAAATTTTTCAGAGTTTTGGACAGAGCTATCAACCCGTTTGCCGGAACAGGAATGAGCTTGGTGAAGAGACCGTTGGAGAGATTGAGAGATGTGATGCGTAAAGGGAAAGTGGAGATTAGGGTAAGAAGAGCCTCGACTTCTTCTAGGATTTTCGATAGGAGAGTAAGGTGGAGGGAGATGATGTTAGGGAAGCGGTGGAAGAGTCGAGGAAGGAAAGGGATGGTTTCATCGGTGATTGTGACGGAGTATCGGACACGATTGGTGATGGAGAGAAACTGCTTTGAGACGACGGTGAGAGACTTGAAAGTGCGGTTGTCGCCGTTGAGAGATTTGAAGATGCACTCCAACAAGTCCTCATGCAAATCTGAAAATACGGCCGCCATTGTTACAGCATGTATGGTTTCTCCACATTCACATAGGTTACTCCCTCCTCCATCCTCTCCTTAGTATATGTCTTTTTAATGTAAAACTGTGCTAGGCCCAACAATACTTTAACCTAGGTTTGTGTTGTGGGAATTTAACATAACACCCTCTATTTTATATCTTTGTCATCTTCTAGATAGGGTGTAATTATGAAAATCTTTCTAAAATATATTAGAACTTTTAAGATTTTTGGTTTTGTATCGAAAATTTCACACAAATATCATAAATTTGGTTAAATTTTTAAATTTTTACCGTATCATTTAGTTGTTATCAGATATTCAAAATTTCTGATATTTTTTAGCATTTAAATAACAAATCAGAAATTTAAAATTTTCAATGTATGAAAAATACTGGAAATTTTAAATTTTCTGATATATTTTTGTATTCTAAATACAAATCAGAAATTTGAAATTTCTGGAGCATAAGAAATATCGGAAATTTGAAATTTCTAGTAATACTAGGACCTAAATTTTTTTGTTTTTTTAAAAATTATTACTTGAATAAAATATATTTTGAAACAGCGAACTGATAAAATATATAAATAAAATAATTGTCATACATAGGTACGTTAAAAAAAACTACAATCACGACTTAGCCAATTCTTCTCAATGTCGGAAGTGACCCACATATGTTGATTCCCATGCTTTTGTATCATTAGAACAATTATGCCTCCATTTCTTAATGACGGGAGGCAGTTGTCGTACCCCAAATTTTCCCTATCTCTTTTACTTTTGTCTGGATTTGAACTTTGCATCCCATTTGCATCATTTTTTGCTCAGTCATTTGCATATCCCGCATCTCATGAAATCAGGCACTTTGGTTCGAGGTATTAGGGTTGCACCCTCTTTATGTCTAATTTTGTTTTGAAATTCTCTTATCAGGTGAAAGGGAAATTCTTCTAGTTCTCGATTAGTGGATCCTGGAATGAATTTTGTCATCACGTTACAAGGTTGATTCTTGCTCGAATTTATCAAAGCCTGGATTAGGGTTTATTTCCCTATTTGTTGGCCAAGATGCTAGGGTTTTTGGATCCCTATTTTCTGTAAAGATGTTTCTTTCGCCTGCCTCAAATATGGCTCAAAGTTCAGTGCATTAGGTCAAGGAGTTCATCTCCTCTCCTTTCAAGCCTTCTTCTTAAAAGCCTCCAGGTCACTGATTCGAGAGTTTGAAGGTTAAGTTGACGACTGTGGAGTTTGGGCACAAGAAATAAGCTTGGGGGTTCATGACCGTCAAGACTGTGGAGTTTGGGCACAAGAAATAAGCTTGGGGGTTCATGACCGTCAAGACATGTTTTGGTTGCTTAAGTTACAAGTTACTTGTGATGTGAGTCTCAAAGTTAAAGTTCTGTTTAAAAGTGCAAGTTTGGTTCAGGCGTGATATGAAGATTAAGTTTTAAGTGACCGTTGTTTTGGGTTCGAATTAACCAAGGGGAATTAAATTCTTAAGCATTTATTTTGTGCAAGAGTTTGATTGGAGTCTGGAAGATAAGGCGCATGGTTGTTTGGAATACAAGTTACAACAGTTATTTGTGATTTTCTGAAATTCAAGTCACAAGGGCAAAATGGTCAAATGCACTCTGAAAAGTCAAACTTTGACTTTTGGTAAAAAAAATCAGGTTTCAACAATTATATTTCATCAAGACAAGAAATTGGTTAATCAAGAAGTCAGAAATCAGAAACTACTTTGAGAAAAGAAAGAAATTAATTTTTTTAAAATACTTGTAAAATATTCTAAGTGGTAAGAGATTTCAGAACTTCAGGGCCAAATTCCACGCAAGTGCAATCAGAATTTACAAGGATGGTTCAGAACATTGTTCTTTGGTCAGAACATATGGGGGCTTTGTTCTTTGGTCAGAACATAAATCTGAAAATACGGCCGCCATTGTTACATCATGTATGGTTTCTCGACATTCACTGCTCTCCTTAATATATGTCTTTTTAATGTAAAACTGTGCTAGGCCCAACAATACTTTAACCTAGGTTTTGTGTTGTGGGAATTTAACATAACACCCTCTATTTTATATCTGTCATCTTCTAGATAGGGTGTAATTATGAAAATGTCTCTAAAATATATTAGAATTTTTGAGATTTTTGGTTTTGTATCGAAAATTTCACACAAATATCAGAAATTTGGTTAAATTTTTAAATTTTTACCGTATCATTTAGTTGTTATCAGATATTCAAAATTTCTGATATTTTTCAGCATTTAAATAACAAATCAGAAATTTAAAATTTTCAATGTATGAAAAATACTGAAAATTTTAAATTTTCTGATATTTTTTTGTATTCTAAATACAAATCAGAAATTTGAAATTTCTGGAGCATAAAAAATATCGGAAATTTGAAATTTCTAGTAATACTAGGACCTAAATTTTTTTGTTTTTTTAAAAACTATTACTTGAATAAAATATATTTTGAAACAGCGAACTGATAAAATATATAAATAAAATAATTGTCATACATAGGTACGTTAAAAAAAACTACAATCACGACTTAGCCAATTCTTCTCAATGTCGGAAGTGACCCACATATGCTGATTCCCAAGCTTTTGTATCATTAGAACAATTATGCCTCCATTTCTTAATGACGGGAGGTAGTCGACAATCGGGTTTCAACTTCACCTGAACCCAATGATTTTCATTGACAAAACCAACAATAATGATAGTATGCCGACTCGTGTACGAGGTGGAGCTATGAGAAGTGGGAAAAATGTTATGTTAAGTCTCATGGAAAGGGAAACAAATATGATGCTATATCTAGAAGCAATAGGGTAACCCATATCTGAAATTTCCAACTGTTGCAACTGGTTTTTTAGATAGAGTCGCCACCCTTAATTTTTATCCTAAAGGAAGGGAGTATAAAGGAATAACCTTAAAAGTCAGAGATTCTAGATTTGGACTCGGTTCTAGACGAAGGGAAGGTGTTAGGCACCCTTTATCTACCTTGTTCACAAGGATACTAGGTTTAGAAGCATTATTTTTAAGAAATAGGTTAATTATTAATAATAAGGGAAAAGGGTTTGAATTTTAGTTAGGGGGACTCGCCACGATTTTCGATCATATGCCTACGTATCCTCTTAAAAGGAATCAGAGTCCTATTTCGTAGTTCACAGTGTTGATTGGTGTTTTCTATAAGATTATGTAGATTACTTTCGAATTAACCTTGAACATCGTCTGGGTTGTAAATTGAGTGATCGTAGACGCAGTTCCTAGTCTGATTTGAAGACAATGTTATTTAATATTTTTTTGAAAATGGTCTTGAGATTTTTGTTATGTTAGTAGAATAAGATTTTTGATGTTGATTAGTTGTTTTGGTATTTGATTCGATTAAGGCGCGTAGCGGGAGAGTCTGATATAGTCTCCTCATTATGTGGTCAGATATTGGCCACGTGTCGCTCATTGACAAATTATGTATTTTTTTTATATAAAATGTTGAATTAATTAAAAAAAACCTTTTTTATATTTTTGTACTTACTTATTATTTTTGGTGTTTTTATAATTAAGTAAAAAGAATTTATTTTTGTTTCAATAATATTAATGATTAAGTGGCATGATAGTTAAATAGATCTAATGCTACTAATAACCTAATTTAAAAGGACATATTTCGTTTATAAAACATGATGACTAAATTAAAACAAATATGATCAAATCTAATTAGTAGGCATAGCAAATAAACCTAAATAAAACTAATTAATGTTTAAACAATGATTACTGAAAAAGATAAAGTGGTGTGAATAATAAAGTAGAGGGATGGATTGAGTTTAAGGCCTAAATGGTAAACCTAAACCAAGTTAAATGGATGATAAATAAATAATAAAAAAACGTGAACACATGGGGAGGAGTAGTGCTACCAGATTGTATTATCCTCTCATACAATTTATAATAAAACATAAGTAAAATAAAATACAGGCGGTTAAAACTTGTTTCCAACATCAAAATAAAATGAAACAACTCATATAGAGACACTTGACATGAACTATATAATAAACCAAAATAACTTAACATATAAATATAATACCAGAGAGAAACGAAATCTAGCCTTCCCTCTCACTTGTATTCTCTCACTTTTCTTGTTCATATGAAAACAACAGCCACATATCAAACAAACAGAGGTGGAAATTTAAGAGAAAAAAAACCTGATGAATAAAGCCGTGATAACAAGATGGTGCTCATGGACCGTGGAGGAGGTCGAAGGGACGTCGACGGTTGGTGTCGTACGGACGCAGCGGTTCCTGCTGGGGCATCGTCGGTAGTGATGTGGCAATGGTGATGGTGTAGACAGCGGCGACGGATCTGAGAGTTGTTTAAATGTGATGAATGACTTGGATATATGTAAATTGATGTTGGACTTTGAAATGCGAATGCGTAGTTAGGCTTTTTGAGATACGCTCGACCCATGCTGTTGGAATGCGTAGATGAATGAGATGATAGTATGGCTTGGTTTTGGATCTAGGAGCCCTAATGCATGATTTATGCAGCCTTGTGCTTTATGATTATGAATTGGATATTTTTTGAATGGTGCCCCTGTGATGGGTTGTGGATGATTAAAGGATAGAGGTTTGTTTATGCAACAAGGTTGCTTGTCACATTATGGTTGAGTGTTGTGCTTGCATGATTCCCTGATACTTGTTTCAAACTCGAAGATTGCTGACGTAGAAGAGAGGTCCACCAGAGGTTTGTGAAAGTATGAAGAGAGCTTGCTTTTGTATGGACTGTTTTTCCTAATTTGTTGGTAGGGTCCTGGAGGAGATTATCTTTAATATGAGTTTGGAAAAAGTTTGATCATAATGTGAATGACCCCGATATTTTGCATTATGCCCCTGATTAAAAGACTCCTGAAAAATGCTTGGCTTTGATGGACCCTTTTGTATCAACTTCCTTTTTTGATCGAGCCTCGCAGTGGTTTGCCCCAACATTCAAATTTTGAAAGACATGCCCCTCAATCTCCAAGATCCGGAGGAA